TTGCTGCTGCAGTAATAATCTTCTTTAATAGTTTAGCATCTTTGTAAATTTGAGAACCAGGTTCATTAAATTGACAAGCATTACGACACATGAGCATTAAATCCTTTTCCATATCTGAGATACTGCTATATGCTCCCTCTTGAATTTTCCTTGCCACCGTTTTTAAGTCCACTGGTGTCTCTATTACATCATAATACTCAGGGTATAACTGTAAGTTAACAATATTTGTTCCATACGTTAGTCTCAAAAAATAATGCAGTAAAATATTGTCGATAATAATATATCAAACCTTTTTAGATGGTTTAAGCTGAAACATTGTATGTAATGGCCTATTGTTGTCAGCTGGATCTGTTGCTGTCATAACAGCTGCAAATAAATCTTCAAAAAGCTGTATTGTCTCTTCATCTGGATTTGTAGAACTTTCAGATGTATCTTCTGCATCTTCTTGTTTCGTTGCAACTTTTCGAGCCTATGTGATTGTCTTCATATTAACTTTGGATTGATTAAATAATATAATGACATATATATAAATACTTACCAATCTTGCTACTTTCAATATAAGTTTTCCTTTAGGTTCTGGATCTTCGTACTCTTCTGTAATACGATTCTTTGTATTTATACATAATTCCCAAAGTTCTGTAGCATCCTTATACTCGGGAGATGTACGCTACAATTATACATTTGTTACACATTAAAATCTTATAGTTGTCATGCTTCATATATTTTCTAAATTTATTAATTTATGTGTTATTACCATATAAAAAGCTTTTGCATTATTAACCATAAGTTGAATATCAGCTGCCAAGTCATCCATATCTCTATATTCGTCAGTTTTTAGTTTTTGTTGAACCTTTAGCAGGTCTATAGGATTTGTTACAACTTCATAATAACCTGGTTCTTGTCTGCGTTTAGGCACACGTATAAATGCATCACATAATAATGTTCCATCTTCCTTTTTTTGATTACGTAGCACATCATACAATTGTTGGCACAGGTCACTCTAAATAGATTTAATTATTAAACATAATACTTATAGAAAATGATGTTTTGTCACACATAATAACTTACAGGATCTAATTTTTTTCTCCTTTTTGTTGGTTCAGGTGGTATATCGTCACCATCATCTTCCGTACCTCGACTTGCAACTGAAGATGTTCTACGACGCTTGTTCATCTTGAATTATCTTAAAAAATATAAGAAATAAACATATGCACAAACACAAACAACACTAATGTCTTGCATTAACACTAAGCTACTACATTATAATGCCAAATCTAAGTCATAGTGTCATTGTATACAGAAAAAGTCTTTGACTACATCTTATGCTTGACCAATATAATTACATCACTTGAAATACACAAAACTGGAGCACAATCGAGAAACTTACGAATGGAATTTCATACACAGAATATAAATTTACTAAATATGTTACTTCACAAAGAAATTCCTTTGCGTACGTATTAGGTATGAAAGTAATCGAGATACACAACTGCAGTTAAGAAAATTTCGCCGCCATGATATGTCGCCACTGTGCTTTAAAATGCAGAAATGCATAACGTTTTAATTTTCCGGTGTAACATTTCACTGGAGTTGGTTGTAAATTGTAACTAGAAGTAAAAATTGCAGCACACCCACGTTTCAACAATCCTCGGACAAATATTGTCAAAGTTTCTAATAAATCGCTGTCGAACTAAAATTTACCGCCATATCAAAACCTCACTGCATCTTTGAACTCGTTCCTCTACAGCTACAATTATACTGCTCTTAAAGCACTAGTATTATCGTAGTCTGAAATTCTCACCTGCCGTTAAAATTTGTACAAAAAGTTTTTTAATAATATAGAACATGTAAAATAAAAGCGTTATAAATATTGAACGCTTTTCATCTGCAACGCACGATGACACACGACTTGGCTAACGCCATGCCGTAAGCCGTAAGCAACCGCGGGTTTATAATCACACGAACCGTACGAACCTACGGCCAGAAATAGAGACTGCTTCATATGTCCTTTCATGTATGAAATCGCTCAGTCGGTATAGAAGCTTTCAAGCATTTAGTATAGATTCTCACAGTAACATAGGTATGCTCATTCATCCAAGTTTTTCCAAAATGATGATTAAATACCGAAGAATCTTCAATAATATATGAATAATACTTATTTTATAGCACGTG